CCCCCAAAAAAAACAAAAAACCTCTCCCGGTCTCTAACTCTGAGTTGTAGGAATCTTTTTCTTATATTTATTTCTTTGTTTGGCTGTTGGAGGTATCGAAAAATGCATTAATATCCTATCCTTGAAGGAACCTCAGTTATGTATATACATTCATTTCAAAATGTATATACACTGTAATATTTGTGGAATGACTAAATATTTCATGTAATTTGCATGTGAAACAGGCATCAATAGAAATGATCTGGTTGTCCTGGAGAGCCACCTTGTATATTCCTTAGATAAAGAAAAAGCAACAGCTCGATTATATCTTGTACAATTCACTAAGTCTGTCCATGAAGATTTTATGGTTCCTATTGGAGACGTCATTGAAAGGTTGGTCCACTTCTCTACATATTCAAGTTCATGCCTCAGGAAATTAACTGACAAAACACAATAGTCAACTGTGGACCCTTAAATCATATGCATCTCTTGTCAAATGTGAGATTTGTTACCAATATTTGATGCATAATCTGGAAAATCTTAATGTTCATCAATTTCGTATTGCATAAATGAATATTGCTTTAAGTTTTATTTCAGTACTATAAATATTGCTCCCATGACGAGGAATGACTATTTTTTTTATGAATCTGCTTCTGAAGTAGCTTGCAGGGTCCTCTAATCAAGAAAATCCTAAGTGGATGGGTGGTTTCTCCAGCTGTTGAGTATTTTCACTTGCTGCCCTACAGAGATATTTTGTCGAATTGGTATTCTAGGTAGAAGTTTCATCTGGTCCACTTACTTTTGGTTATTCTTTTGAAATGTTTAGTCAAATGTTGCACTCTAGTTTCTGTAGCGAAAATGCTCTTTACATTTCAATTTTATATGCTCTAGCAGAAGCTTAGCTGTTTCCCTTCCAGTGAGTAATTCAGAGTTCTAACTGTTCCTTGCAGCTATGTAAGCCCCCGCTTTGAGGTCTCTTACCAATAGGAGACTGTGAGAAATAAACACGAGAGAAAGAGCTTTTGGGAATACATGGCCTTTATGCCTTACGCTTCTATCTGTTTATATACATGTATTAAATGAGTGCTTTCTCGCTTGTCCAATGTGGGACACTAATATTTACAGTGCTATGCTAGCCTATCTAACAAAAATATTGTAGTTGAATAAGTCCAAGGTAACTGGTCGTGAGAGCATACTTAAGACGTTTGGTACTGCTGCTTGATACTGATTAAGATTGTATAAAAACTATGCTTATCGGTTGAAAAGCCTTACCTGTATCTGAGGCATATGATAGCACCGGTACTTTTGCCGTGTTGCGATTAACTGGTTTCGTATCTTGTACTGTGATTCATGTATTCTTTGGAGTGACTACGTGTTTGTTTTGTTTTACTTTATTTTATCTATTTCTCCTAAGAGGTTAAACCAAAACCCGTACTTCCAAATTTGCACTTATCCTGAAGCCCACCTTCAGTTTCTGTTTCTAGATAACATAAATATTTGTTTATTTCCTAGATATCTAGTTTCTGCTCTTTCTAACTATTGAGAGGAGGATACTAAGCATAGTTCCTTTTTTTCTTTTTACTACAATGAATTGTGATCACAGGGAGCTGTTACCAAATGGCCTGCAAGATCTAACTGTAGAACTGGTAGCTGGTCATGCATATGATGTACATATTAGAGGTAGCTCCAGTGAGAAAGAAGTAAACGAGGTGAAAATTAACTCCTATACTAATTACAGTATAAGTTTGTTATTACCTCATGCTTTCAGAGTCGATATTATGGATTTGACAAAATATATATATGATTAGCAAGATTATTGGAGCATGGATGAAAATGGTTGTGAGTATTCAGTTTTCAAGCATGTTGACAGGAGAACGTGGTTCGACTCATGATTAAGTCGTGCAATACTGATTGTGATGATGAAAAGATTATTGAAGCGAAAAGAAGAGGCATGCAGGGACTCTCTGCAGTAAGCTCGTCTCAGTTGGATTCTCAACATTCTGAGGATGTAGTAACCACTTTGGCTTCAAAGGAATCTGCAATATCACGATCTGCCTTGACTGTTCTTTTCTGGAAAAGAGAGAAACTGGTACCTGCCTTGACTGTAGTAACCCCTTTTGCTATTCTGCCTATGTCGTCCTAGGTGCATGTCATTTCTAGTTGACAATCCTTCATTCTATGGTTAACAAAGTATGGTTGCTAGTTTCACTTTTGGGCAATATTATTAACAACAGATCAGAATTTGCCGATGAATCTTTGGGTATTACATTTTTTGGAATTCGTAAGAGGAGAATTTGCACTAGTTTCTTTGACAAGTGACCAATACGCCATTCCCTGTTGATGAATTTTTCCCAATTTCCTTTGACGAACTTCTGACTAAAAAATTAAGAATTTAAAATTATTTGTTTCCTTTTATAAGAAGTTTCCATCGTCTTTCCGTTGATCAGGTGGTCTTGTTTCATTC